ATTATAAAAATAAACAAAGAAAGGAAGAAAGAAAGGAGACAGACAGACAGACAGACAGACAGGAAGGAGAGAATTGTATGTGATGGGTCTGAGGAGGGAGAAGGGAATTGGTAAATGGACATAACTGAGATACATTGTGAAATTCTGAATACATGTATGAAACTGTTAAAGGATAAATAAAACATATATATTTTAAATATATAGGCTGGTGTGGTGGTGTACACCTAGCACTCAGTGCTGAGGTAGAAGCACACTAGTGTGGTGTCCTAGCATATAGGCTGAGGTAGAAGACCAGCCAGAGCTACATCAGTAAGGCCCAGTTTTAAAGAAAAAAAAAGGTATATGTAAGCTTTCTATGTAAGCTTTCTATGTGCACACCTGTAACTACTCAGATGGCTAAGGCAGGAAGACCTGGAGCCCAGCCTGAGCAACACAGAGAGATCTCATCTCAAAGATGTATGCAGGGACTAGAGCATCTGTTCTCAACCTTCCTAATGTTGCAGCTCTTTTTAGTAGTTTTCACATTGTGGTGACCCCCCAACCATAAAATTATTTCATTGCTACTTTGTAACTTTTGCTACTGTTATGAATCATAATGTAAACATCTGATAATGCAGGGTATCTGATGTGTGAACCTCAGAGGGGTCCCAAGCCCCAGACTGAGGGTCACTTGGCTAGAGAGATGCTTCAATGGTTAAGAGCCCTCACTGCCCTTCTAGAGGATCACAGATCTTAGCACTCATGTCTGGTGGCTCATAAGTGCCTGTAACTTCAATTCCAGGGGATCTGAGCAGACACTGGCACATACTCTCATACACATAAACAAAAACAGAACATTTTAAAAGTGTGCATAAAATATGCAAATTTAAAATAAAATAGTGAAGTAGTGAAAAATTTAATAAAATAATAATAAAAAGTTAATAGCTAAAGCAAGCAGGAAAGTTTGGGAAGGCTAGAGAAATCTCACTCCCCACAGGTGACTACTCTTTTTATGGAAATGTGAAGAATTTGTTCTCCCTATTAACTGGGAACATCGCATTCATGAGCTGTCTTCATGATATCCCCAGTATTGCTCAGGTAAAAGCAAAACCACTTCTTTTTTCCTTTTCAGCCTAGGCCACAAACTAGTAACATACCATTTACTGAAGGGTTTCTAAGTATTCAACACTACATACACACTTCTCTCACCTCACGGTAGTCCTATGTAGTGGGGGACTGCTATCATTGCTCCTACTCTATCCAAGGCAAAAGGAGAGGGCCTAGACTACAAAGGTGAGTCCATTTCACTCCGGGAGGAAACAGCCAGATATGAGGAAGAAGACAAAAGCAATTGTGGTCAATGAGAAAGGAGGAGGGCTTAGAAATGGGGATCCAAGTATCTGACAGTTGACAGTAGTAAGTGCTACGCAATTGTATTTTGCCAATTGGATCACGAAACCTGACATACATTTATATTATTTACAAACACACACACAGAGAAGTATATTAGAATTAATATATATAAAGAATAGGTATAACATATCTATATTATATATAATTATATATGTATCTAGAAATATATATTAAAACTGCAAAAAGAGTTCTATATATATATTATAGATAATTCTATATAATATATATAATATTAGAACTGTAAGAAAAGAGTTTTATTAAGACTTTTGAAAATTATTCTAGACAGCTTTGAAAATTATTCTAGACAGCTTTGAAAATTATTCTGGACAGCAGAAAGCCATACAATTAATTGAGTAGGATTAGTTTCTTTCTTCCTTTGTCTGTTGTTTATTTCTTTGTTTTATTTTTGAGATAGCATCTCAAAATATAGTCCAAGCTGTAATCAAACTCTTGATCCTTCTGCTTCAGTCCCCTGGGTGCCGTGGTGTATGCCACTGTACCCAGCCCTGGTTCTTATATTGGGTTAAGAGATGATATTAAATTCTAATCAATCATAAGCATGCTAGATATCACCAAACATATAAAACTATAGTGACAATTTTGAAGTTTTGGTTTCTTTGAAAAAAATATAGAAATATAAGAATGTGTATTTTCCTTTTCTCCAAAACTAGAATTCTGGAATAGCGTACCTATGATGTACTTAGCTGGTTATAGTTAGGGGTGGTGGTCCCACTTTGCCTAAGGTGAGCCTGCTTTGTGCTTGTTATCCTGGGATAATTATCAATAACATCCTCCTCTTATTTTCAGCTCTGTCTCAGTTTGATCTTCTTAGCATCTTTGGTTTTATCTTCAGAATGCATTAATATCTAAATATTACCTACTCATTTTTTATGTAGAGAGGGCTCCACTACAGAGAAATAAAACTTCAAAGAAGTTCTAATTAGATATCTGAATGACAAAATTTAGTTGACTATTTCAACAGGTTCTCTAATATGGAAGCTTTCATCTGAAGGTCTGAAGAGTGAGGAGTTGGGTTCAAAGGCCTTGCAAAAAATAGTGGGTTTTTTTTTTCATCAACTAGCACTAGGACATCCACATGTTGAAAATA